TTTATCGTTCAGTCATCGATATGTATTCTTTAAGACACAATGCGAGCGTTCGTATTTAGATTCGTGTACGTATCTTTTGCACGAATAGAATACGTGGCAACACTGGATTATTAACTATCTGTAGTAAAAACATCGCGTACTTGTCAATAAGTAACAAATAGTCACTTAAATAATAATCATATATCAGTACAGTGGTCTCGCTTAGAGATCTCACGCGAAAAACGAAAATGGACAAGAAAAAGCGTAGTGCAAATGTTACCGAAGAACAAAAAACATTATTATTACAATATATGGAAAAAAATCCGCGCTTGTTGTCAGGTAAATTTTCAGCTGATTTTACATATAAAGATGCAACGATCTTATGGCAAAAGATAACAGATATCTTAAATAGTTGCAATGGAATAAGTAAAGATTGGAAATCTTGGCGGAAAGTAAGTATATAACGTATATTACATACTACATATAATAGATATAAATCGAATAATTTCTATTACATTAAAACTTATATTATCATATTAATCATAATATTTTAGTGCTGGCAAGATTTACGGTCTCGTAGTAAAATGAAGCAAAGCAAAATAAATGCAGAACGAAATAAAACTGGAGGAGGGACTGAATCTAACCTAAAATTAAGTACAACAGAGGCAGCAACATTAAATTTAATTTGTTCCACAAGTATTAATGGACACACAGAGATAAACGAAAGTGAAGTTCACATAGGATCAGACTCTGAGGTAAATTCTACATATATTTTTGTAATTGATAGTTTTTTTCTAATTTCTTCAATCTCTTCTATTTTACTTTACTTTCTTCTTTAGCCTTATTTTTACATTCCTTATTATAATAGAACGCATGCATTTATATATCTTTGCTTCTTATTATTAGATACATTTTGAAATAATTGGAAATGAAGGGGAATATCTTCAGCAGAATGTAGGAGAGTTGATACAAATTGGTGAACATAGTAATGCAGTCAATATTAACATGGAAAGCACTGAAGCAAACAACAATGAAGATAAAGAAAATTCATTAATTGATAATAATGCATACAATTTAAATGAAAATGATGATAATAATGGTTCTCCAACTACACCAATAATTAAAAAAAGGAAAAAAAGGTTAGACAATGTTCAATCTATACAACAGCCAACAGAGACAATGGCAAAAGTAGCAAAACAAACTTTCCAAATCCAAAGCTCTTATTATGATCAAAAGTTAAGACTGAAGAAACGAAAGTTAAGACTTCAAAAAAGATTGGTTAATGCTGTTGAAACATGCAATCCTTCATAATAATATAGCAAATTCTTGCGCTGTAGACCTTTCATTTTTTCAGTTTTATTTTTATATACGTTCCTATTTTTAAATTTAATATGAGCATAAAGATTTATTACTTGTATGTCTATTACGTATATTAAATATTATAAGCTCAGAGTTTGTCAATATATCCGTGTTTATTATTAAATAAGAAGTTATTACATTTATAACATGTTGAGTTCTACAGAGTAAAGACTGCATACGAATTCTTTGTGATTCCATGTGATATTGCTTTCTTTATTATAAAAGATTTAAAAAACTTATGAAGTATGTTACATTACTATTTTATTTTATATTGTATGTTATACATTTTATATATTATGTATTAGATGTATGTTACACATTATATGTATAATGTATGTATTCTATATGTAAGGCCTTTTCGGCATTCATATATGTATATAAATATATACAGGGTGTTTCCAAATTAAATGGCAAAACTTCGGGAGCGTGTAGAGGAGTAAAAAACTAAGAAAAAAAGTCCTATAGACATATGCTCCTTTTTGCTTTGTTTCGCAGGAAATCACGAAAAAAGAAAAAAATATATTTAATTTATTATTTTAATTATTTTATTTATAAACTTTTTAATGAAGATTTTGTTCGAAATGTGCACCTCTTGCAGCAATACAAGCATTGCATCTGTCAAACACGGCTCTTGTAGCAGCCAGGCACTGTTCTTGCGATATTCTGTTCGCTGCAGCTACGATACGATTTCTCAAATGTTGCTCTGATTGAATAGGCGAAGAATAAACTTCTTGCTTCAGAGTACCCCATGCATAGAAATCTAATGGCGTTAAGTCGGGCGAACGAGTTGCCCAATGTACTGCTCCTCCACGTCCAATCCATCGTTGTGGGAATTTTCTATCTAACCAGGTTCTAGCGACTCTGCTGTAATGAGCAGGGCATCCATCTAATTGAAACCACATTTCAGTACGTTGTTGTAATGGGATGTTTTCTAAATAGTCAGAAAATTCATTCTCCAAGAAATTTAGAAAACGGTCCCCATTTAATCTTGCAGGTAAAAAAAACATTTTTTTTCGATTTCTCTGAAACGGAGCAAAAACGAGCATATGTCTATAGGACTTTTTTTCTTAGTTTTTTACTCCTCTACACGCTCCCGAAGTTTTGCGATTTAATTTGGAAACACCCTGTATATCAACGAAAATAAGTACGAATTAATCTGTTTCGCAATTGTTTACCTGCTGCCAAATCAGGATTCACTCTATTTGCTATTTGTTCATTGTTATCACCGATGTACTGATTAAACATATCATCTTGCCAATCATCATCATATTGTGGGAATGGGATATTATTTTCTATACACATATTGTGCAAAATAGCACAAGCATTTATAATTTTGCATGCCGTTTGTGGTGAATAGTGTAAAACTCTGTGTTTCAATAAACAGCGGAACCGCATCTTTAATAAGCCATTGCAACGTTCTATTAAAGCTCGACAAGACATTTGACTCCTATTGTATCTTTCTTCTGGACTATTTACTTCTGCATTAATGATTGGAGTTAATAACCAAGGTCGTAGAGGATAACCAGAATCACCTAAAGCATTAAGTGTTAGTTAATAACGCTTCTAAAATTCAAGTTACAAATATATATCACAAGATTACAAAATACAAATATATTTCTAAAATATTAATATAATATAAGATGTTTCTTAAATGTCCATTTATCGTGTAGCACTATTCTTGATAAAAAATTGAGTCAAAATATCCAAAAATATTTTTTATTAATATTTCAGTGGGCGACATTAAAAAAAACACCTCGTATATGTATATACTATACTATATATAATATAGTGTGTTTATACCTAGAAGAAAAAATGTCATATTTGGCCACTGTCTGTTGATTCTTTCCATTCCTACTTTTAAATTAGAATTATTCCATATGTATGTATCGTGTGTGCTTCCAGGGTAGCGAGCATTTATATTTAATATTTTTAAACGCCAATCACATACCTGAGTTAAAAAATTATATGTAATATTAACAATATTTACAAATGATATAATAACAATTCTAATCTTAAAAAGAACAACAATTATATACTTACTAATTGTACATTTATGGAATGATATCCTTTTCTATTAACGTATAAATGTTCAGGATTTATAGCATCACGAATCTTTGGTGGAAAAATAGCTATGTGAGTGCAATCTATGCATCCAATTACTCCAGGAAATCTATGGCTATCATAAAATCTAGAAACATTATAATATCTTATTATAGTAGTTTAGAAAAAAAATATATAAATTAATATTAAAATATAAATTTAATATTATATTGTTAAAGAATTAAATTAATATTATATTGTTAAAGAATTAAATTTTCTAACTGTTGTCTTAAATATTTTAATTCATTTAAACTTCTGGGAAATTTAATCCACTGGTTCATTATAGCTGCCTGATTTAATGCATCTACTACTTCATTAATACATCTAGATACAGATGCTTGACTTATAGCAACATACAAATTTTGTCCTATACCTGTTTGATAACTACCATATGCAAAAAAATGTAATGCTGTCAATACCTATAAACCAGAATTAAAAATAGAGATAATATGTATATATCTTAATAATATTATATAATTGGATATATATATTTTAACATATGATATTTTAATATATGATACTGTGTAACAGTATTTTTCACAGATGAAAAAACAAAATTGTTCTTGAAGATAAAGACGAAATCTAGCGCACAGACATGCGTTATATTCTCATTATACGCCCATACTAGATTATATCTCTATTTTTAAAAACAATTTAATTTTTTCATGAGAAATAGAAATTGTTCTGAGAAGAAAGAATTATTTTTTTATGCGTGTAATAATTCTATACATTTATATGTACATAAATTTCTATATTTATACTTACTTTTGTTTTAATATCCAACATAGATCTTCGCTGCCTCTGCTTCATGTATGGTGTTAAATCTCTTATTAGATGACGCACTAATGGTTTTGTTAAACGAAATAACTTTAAAAATTTTTTGTCATCCAAATTAAATGCATCAGCTGCTATGTGTCTTGCATGACGATTTCGCCGTGCAACAGCTTGTTGAGCATGTACATTTTCGGCCTCATGTGCAACAACGAAATTATTAAAAACGTTCATTTTATGTTTAAAATTGTTTGTCTACTGACAGTTAATCGCAAACGTGCTCGCAATCGAGAAACGAATGGTTCGGACCGTTCGCAGTATTTCATACGTAAATCTGCGTATACGTTTCAATGCGTATACGTATGTAAGTTTAGAGAATAGAGTTTCAAATATAAGCGCTCGTAACTCTGAGTTTGCGCATACGTTTCTCTTACGAGTGAGTTAGAGAATCGGGCCCCTGTGTGCTCCCAGTCTACGCAGCTCGGTATCCACAGCGCAAGTGTCGGG